GGTTTGCCTTTAAAGTTCGGGTTCTTTTTGTAAATATTGAGTATTTCAGTGATTTTTTCAACGAGATCTGTTTCTGATTCTTGTATATTATTAATATTAGTGGGAGTCGTTTCAATTTTGTTAACATATTGTAATTTCAAATTCTCCGTTTCTTCTAGTTTCATCGTGATTTCTGCTTGTTCTAGTTTGTCTACTAGTTTTCTAAAATCTAAATCGGGTTCTCGAATTGAAGAAGGATGGGATGCTCTCTTTTTTATTGCTATTTTCCTTAATTGTGGTGTTAAGGTCATCATTAAGATTTCTGTCATCTTAGTGTTTTTATAGTCGTGTGTATTTAGTGAATATGCTTTTCGAACTAGTGTTTCGATTCTTACTGCTATTTGCTTGATGGTTTCGTTTGGTAATCTGCGAATTTCATTACATAAAACTCTTTGTTGTTGTTTGTTTCTTTCGGAGTCAAACATTTTTGAAAATTCTTGTGTAAATCTTTTCCAGTTTGATTTTATTTCTTGAGGTAGTACTGAAAACCATTTTTGGGCTGCGCCATCTAAGGTTGTTTGTATCAACGCTGTGCGTCGATGTATCCAGTTTTGATGTAGTGGCGTATTAATTGGTTCAGGTCCTATATTTAAAATCAAATTTGCTGTTACTGCATTTAAGTAATCTTCTACAGAGTATTCAGGGTCTGTTCCTGTGAAAACCATTAAGGGTTTGTTTGATGTTATTGATGATCCACCCATTAGGTATGGATTCATTGTCATTTGTAATGATTCTGCTGCATTTGGCATTTGAGAAAAATTTGAAAGTTGGTTTCTTGTTATTTCATGTTGTTGAAGATAATATGGGAGTGGTATTTCATTTTGCATTTGTGATGCTTGATACGAGTGTGCAGTCATTGGATTTTGTTGTTGAATTGGTTGAAAAGATTGTGTATTAATTGGGTTTTGTTGTTGAATTGGTTGTTGATGTTGTGCATCTATTGGTTGTGGAGAAAAATTTCTATAATTTGTACGTGTTTTCTGTATTCCTTGTCTACGATATTCTTGAGTATTTGGTGCAAATATATCTGGTTGTAAGAAATCTTCATCTGAGGATAAATAATCTATTTGATAAGATGTTTGTTTTTTATTTTTATTTTGTTGAAAAAATGGGTAATTTCCACTGCGATCCTGTGGAGGATTTGGTTGAAAATTTGTGGAATTATATTGGGCCGTTGGGTTATCCCAGTTTCGAGGTTTTGTATATTGATTAAAATTTCTTTGTGGTTGATAATTTGTTTTTGATGGATGTGTATAATTATAATTATGGTCTGCAAAGTTGTTTCTAGTGAATGTTTTGCGTGTTTTTGATGGTATTGTCATGGGTTTGTATGTTTGGTAATCCATATGTGAATATTTAGGGGCAACCGAAGGTTTAACGGTTGATTGTAAGGTTACCTGTGTTTGTGAAGGATTTGTATTTCTTGGTGTTGTTAAATTTGGGCGTATTGGTGAAATACTTTGTTGTGTAGTTGTTGTGTGTACAATTTCTTCATTTATGAAGTGTGATGGTGTCTGGATATCTTGTTGAGTAAGATTCCTAGTTCCATTGAGGTTTTCATTGTGTATGACTGTAGAGTTTAAACTATTATTTTGTGTATCGGGTAAAAATGTATTATAGTTTAATGGTGTTGCATCAATTGTTAATGGTATTACTCTTACATAATCTCTTATGTAAGATATTGTACTTATTGCTTGACTTGAGATTGATTGTGGGAAGCTTATAAATGCTGGATGAGACCATTCGGGGTCCCAAACATAATCTGATTGTTCTGTGATAGCGGTATCATCGTTCGAATTTTGGGGTCTAAAATTTTTTCTTGCTTGTGCAATTAAATCAATATTGTGTGTAAAATAATCTATTATGAACCATGCTAAAATTTTTTGTAAATCGTGTTTGGTATGTTGTGAAACGTCGTCTTTCGTGAAATTTTCTTTGATGATGTTTAAATAACTAGAGAGTAGTGTGATTTCATGTCGTACTCTTAAATGTTTAGATGTTTCTGTCGGTGAGACATTTGTTAATGGGAGTTCATTTTCTAATATCGAAATATAACTATATATTAGTGCGAAAACTTCATTGGTGAAAATGGAGTTTGCTCTTTGTGAGTTATGGTATTGGATGCTTTTTATATATTCTGAAAAAACTTTTGAAAATTCTAAATCAAGGTCGTCTGTTTGAATAGTATATGTTCTATTATTATGGTTTGGGGAAGTGAATTCTATAGAGTAGATTCCATACTGTTGTGTTATGTTGCATATATCTTTTAGATAGTGATCTATGATTTGTCTTTTGATTTTTACATCGGGGAACTCTGTTTTACATGGACTGATTCCGGGTTCAAATAAATTTACGAGTAAATTTTGACAAAATATGTGTTGTCCTCTATCAGTATCTGCATCTACTATAAAAGGAAAGATTTCATCATCATCTGGAGTTTCGTCACCTGGGGTGTGCGTTGAACTCATTTTTTCGTTCGATGACTGTTAATATATAATTATTAATGTGTCGAATTGGTTGATTCCAATTGTATAAATGTACTGGTTTGTGTTTATACTGCTTTTTTATTCTTCTTTTTCCTCTTTGTGATGAATTTGAAGTTGTTTCTGAGTCAGAAAAATATAATTGATCGTGTTGTGGGCAATTTTTATCTATTGATTCTTTTAGTTTGTAAAGTTCGTCTAAACTGTTGGTTTCTGATTCTGAAAATGCGTTTCGATTTTTTGAAAATCTTTTTCGTGTTATTTGTCTTTGTTTAGTTATTATTTTTCTCTTTAGTGTTTGTCGTTTTGTTCGAATGTATCCAATTGTTTGTGTATGAGGTGTGATTACAAGGTCGTATTTTTTGTTATCTATTTCACAATTGTGTAAAATGATTGTTTGTTTATTTCCTAGGTTTTTAAATGACATAAGGTTTAGAATGACGGATGCAAAAGGTTGTTAAATGATTTCTATTGACTTAAACTGTTAGTTCTTACGATTTTTTGGTTAGCTTAACCTGGGTCTAATTGTTCAGGGTTGGAGAGAAAAGTATATCGATTCCGAAGAATGATTTTTACTTTCTCGTGACTAGTATAAGCTAAGGTGTTAACTTACTTAATCTTACTTAGGGGTAGTGATTGTGTTCAAGGGTTGGAGAATAGTAAATCGATCCACAAGGTTCAGGTATAATTAGAACGCGAGTAGTTCGTTAGATACTATTTTAAACTTACTAAGTCTAAGATTTATCCTGGGTCTGGTAAGAGGAGGGGTCAAGTGAAGGATGAATAACCGAAGTTCTTCACTGTTTATCCTAATTTGAATGATTAGTTTTGTTTAAAAATTTCTATTAGTCTTGGGTTTTTAGAAAGGGTTGGGTAGTGAATCGACGTTTGAGGTCGTTAGACACTAATTAAGTGGGTGGGGGAGAACAAAGTTGTTCTGTTTGATCCAAGGATAAGCCTTGATGATCAAATTTAAAATTTAATTAAGTAGAAAATGATTTAAGATCCAAGGATAAGCCTTGATGATCTGATTTTAAATTAAGTGACTTTAAATTTTAATAAAGTTTTAAATTTGTGTAAAGGAAAGATTTAGTGTTTTGATGATATTAGTGGGTTTATGATTGCTGTTATGTTTTAGGTGATGAAGCTGGAACAACAGGATGATTTATGATTACTAACCATTTATTGTCATGCTACTAATTTTTATTTTTATTTTCCAATAAATATTCTTCAAACATGTTTTGTATAATACTGCAGAATTTTAGGAAAACGATCTTAGATCTTTTTATCAATCGTTATTGTATAATATTAATTTGTTTAGCGCCTGAAATGATTTTGAAGATTTACTTCAAGGTTTTATGTTTGCAAATGGAAATCTAAATTCATTGCAAGTAGTATTCGAAATATAAAAGTTTGTTCTGGCTTTTGCCGAACTATCATATAACTATACGGCAAGTTTCTACTTTGTCGTATGTCGTCTTTGGTTCGATGTCTTCTTCCAATTCCGGGTAGTTCTATTATGGTTCGGAATATTGGCTCTGATCTATTGAGTCGGAGAGACATTTCAATTAAATTATTGTCGTATAACATTTTGTAAATGTTTTTGTCTAATTTCTAATCTAATTTTGGTTAATTCTAATCTAGTAAGGTCTTGTTCGAGACTTATGGTCGCACCAGATGAGTTAGGACTGGGGTGTATAACTCATAGAGTAATTTCGGATAGGGTACACCGTCTGCTCGTCACGCTATCTTATTTTCGGCCGGATAGATTCGTGCAACTTCTTAGTCTAATACCGATCCTAATCTTACTCTTATACTATCTAGTCTCAGGTTGTTTAACTAGTCTCTGCTAGGCTCAATAGATCTAGGGTATACTGGTTTATTGCGGCTGCTGAAGTGCTCGGGAGAGTCCAACTAATTTCTAAGTTAAATTCAAATCTCTCTGGTGCTGAAATTACAAGTAACTTCAGCACTTACAAATAAGTGGGTTGTTAGTTAGATGGATCATGATTGGTTAATATTAAATACTTTACATTGGTAAAACATTTAATTTATCCAATCATAAAATATAGTTTAGATCAGGTTCCAACAGTTTTCCGAAGTAAATCTTATACTCGATGGTTCGTTTCTGGTAAGTTTTCGAGTTTTAAAGAGTTATAGCCGATTTTTGGTGTGACAACAATTTTGTTTTCGGCTCACGGGGCGTCGGCTTAGTTGCCGCTAGATATTGTTTGCCCAGTTGGTAACTTGAACACTTAAGTTAAGTGCTCAAATGGATATAAAAATATTGGTTTAGACAGTTTATTTGATGTTTTTCCAGTTAATTTTTCGTCTTGGTGCTTTTTGTCTTTTTTTGTTTCTGCTAGTTTGCAATTTTTTGTTCGTGATGCATGGCAACTGGTCCGAAGCTTTGCTTGGCCTGTGTGTATATCTTTTGTTTTGAATTGTGTAAATGTACCTTCTCTTATTATGTTGTAGGTACAAGTCGTTTCTATTTGGGGAAATGAAGCCTGAGGGGGAGAGGGAGAGAGAGGGGGACCAGGTGCAGTATGGCTTCGAATTCGAGTTCCTCGCCACTGCCAGTGAGTTCAACGAAAACAAGTCTAAATCTCAAGCACAACAGCTAGTCATCTGGTTATAGTTCATCCCCAATCTATAGTACAACCTGGGGAGGATCTAGGATTTTCTCGAGGAGGGGGGGGGATTTTCCGCAAAATTTTTGTCGACTTTTTTATAGGTCGACAAAATGATTTTCCGAGCTCTGCCAAAGTACTAAAAATTCTGTTTTGGCCAAAATTTCTGAGCCGCAGGCAAAATTTTGAAAAAAAAACATGCCAAAAACCGCGTTTTGAGGCTTTTAGAAAAAATTTTAACCAAAAAATCGCGTTTTTTGGCGCGCGCTCCCCCGTCAATTTTTGTATATTTTGGCGCCAAAGGCGCCTTAAGAAAAGTTTTAGGGTTATTCAGCCAAAATGGATATCTCAAAATAGTACAAAAGGGACCCTTTGATTCGGCAGGGGGTCGAATCCCTGAGGGGGGAAGGGCGTCCGCCCGTGTACAACACAGTGGCTAAGTGCGCAGGAAGGCTTCAAGGGGGAGCCTTTTTTTCTAAAAAAAATCGTTTTAAACTTTGTCCGCAACACTAATAAAAATTTTGCCGATTTTGCCACAACATGTTCCGGAGCCAAACTATAGGAGGAAAGTTACGACCAAGAAGTTGCGTTTTTTTGGCGCGAATAACTGAAAAACTGAATATCCTGAATTAGTGCACTTTGGAAAAAATAGACAAAGATTTGAGGAAAACCAGAAATTGCGTCCCAGCAATGATGAAAAAAAAAATGCTTTCCTAAAACCTTTGGACATGTTTTCCGAATTTCAAATATTGGAAGACAAATTATTAATGCAAAAATATTCATTTGAAACACCCGACCCGTTGCTTCTATTCAACCAACCCCCCTTTGTTCACGCTCCATCAGTTCCCGGACTGGTTACGAGTAGTGAACACACTCTCGAACTGCAAACTGAGAACTCACTCACGCTACAAGGTAAGGCTGGAAAGTAATGAGGTCGAATGAACAAATGCAGCCACAAGTCTCCAATCCCAATGAGATTAAGTCCCTGTCGTTGAAGTGAAGTGAAGTGAAGTGAGTGAACAACTATCAAAGCGAATACATTTCACATCACAGACATCCAGCTGAGATCACTCTCACACCAAGCTCGAGAAAGTGGACTGGGTGGTGCGATATGCTTTACTTTAGCCAGTTCTAGACATGTACTGTTTTAGAATGTACTGTTCATGTTGTGTATCGCCTTTTAACATTTTTTGCTCTTTTCCATAGGAAGGAAACATGTTTCGTGATTGTATTGAAAAGTAGCAGGACAATCACATTCGCCCTTGAAGAAGCATGCGTTTGCATCATTGCGACCCCCCCCCCCCCTATTTTCCACAAGTTCAATTGTGCATGTGTATTTCTGTAGCCTTATTGCTTTGCTGTTCCTCTCCTCTGTTTTCAGTCCTCTGTTATCATGTTGCCATTTAGAAAGAAAGAAAGAGTTTATTTCTCCTGTATATATTTACTACATAGCCAGTATTTGGAGTCTGATTTTAATGCTGTTGCCCGTAGTTGTATTCGAATGACTCTCTTTAGTTTACCGTATCTGAATTATCCAATCATTTCATTGCAACAATTGGGCTAAGAGCGAACAGTTCTGTTAGAGAACAAAGCCCTACAAGTGGGACCAGTGTGGAATTTGCTAGAGGAGTCTCCTCATATACGTAGTCTGGATAATTCGGCCACCAGTTCACGTAGCCAGTTGAGATGCAGTGGGCGTGTACATGGTAATGGGTAGTGTGTGTTTAGGCATGGGCAGTGACAATGTGTTCTCACCGGATGGTTCAATTAGACGAATGAGTTCAGTGGGCCGATCTCCCTCAGCGGCAGCGAATAACTACGTGCGCACAACTGCAGCTGCAGCCACCACTCCGGCAGGCATAGATCCCAATGCATCTCTCAACACCACAAGTACACTTCTCTTCCTAACTGTTAATCTCATAACTTTTGTCTAATCCCACAAACATCGAATGCCACAGTAAATGAATATTGAAGTTTAAGGAGAGCATCCTTGCTGTACAACCTCATTCGTATTTAATAGGAACTAATAGGCAGCTTGCTGTGCAAGGCATTAAGTTTTTTGAAAAAGGTCACTGTTAAAGAAAGCAATTGGCTACAAAATCGAACATGAGCTTAGAGCGTGTTTTCATAATTAAATACTTCTAGCACAGATACTCCCCCTAGCTTTTGAAATGAGCTCAGAACTGCCTTTGAAAATAATAAAATAACTGCAGCTCTCAAATGAGTATTAGATTGCAAGCAATTACTTCAAAACCATTGATTAAAATGCAGCATCAAATTGTCTGCGAGCTATCCCAGATATCTCCTGAGAGGTTAGCAGACAGTGCCTCGACCGCAGGGTCATCCCCATCCCCAGGTGTGTTTCCGGGAGAACATGTGGCAGAGGCCGAGAACTTAAGTGTTTTTGAAGTAAGTTAAGCACATGTACGTTTTATTAGTCATCTGATGCTGTCATTTTCTCCGCTTCTTTTGAAAGTCCAATACAGGCAATTTTTATTCCAACCTTTATTACTTCATTGTACCAGAGTTTTTTGTTGCGGGGGTGGGTGGCGAGAGACAAATAAGTAGTGGTGCTACAAAGTAGAGATGGTGTGTGTTGTGTGCAGTTGGGGGCGGGGGCACTCTGAGTGGGCGTGGTCGTCTGGCGAGCAATGCGTCTAATCTGTCGAGCAGTGTGCGCATCCAGCGACTGCCCAGTGTGAGTGAGATTGGGTGGGACCTCATGGACAGACTCATCCTCAACAGGTCAAACAGCAGATCAGCCACAAACAACAACAACAACAACAACCATGCCTTCACACAAGTCAGTTTTTCCATCTCATCTCATCTCAGCTCTTCTTTATATACTGATAGCAAACAGTTCAAACTCAAAGAATTCATTAAAAAGGGCAATCTGCCAATTTCCAGCAAAATATACATGCAGTTTCAAGCGGCTTGGGGGACCTAATTTTTATATGGAAAAATTTCATGCAAAAAGTTTCCGAAACAGGACATTTGCTCTTTTTAATTAATTATTTTCAATTAGTTCCGAAAAGTTGAGTTTTTACACTAGCAAATTTAAGTGAGCGGATTGTAATAGTACGACTAATCGTTTTTTTTTCGAATCTAAGTCTCAAATAATGGTACCACTTATGAGGCAACTTTAAGGTATTTGATAGCATGTGCTTTGACATTCGATTAGTAATAAGTTAACTCAGTTGATGCATTTCTCATTGATCAAATGAACCGAAGAAGCTATTTGCTTCAAATATCAATACAATAATAAAAACAAATTTCACACGAATCAAATTTCAACGATTTCACAAATTTTCAAACTCAATTTATCTCGCAATGTTTTTGAAATGCTTAAGTTATACATACTACGTCTTTATGCTTTCGAATTTATTAGCTGCAAAGTTAGCGTTGGTACCTTCAGTTTCTTATAATCCAAATCATTACGTGCTAAATTGTGTCTATTTGTCTATGGTTCTTTTTTTTTGCTGCTTAGCATTGACAATTTACTAGCATATGAAGCTGTTCTACTTGTGACTAGTGTTTTCGCTGAAAAGCGTTCGTGGCCGCGCGGGCAGGGCTTGAGACTCAAAATCTCGAGGTCGCCTCTGTGTAAAAAAAACTGTGGCCGACTTATTCTGTATAATAATTTTTGTGTTTCATCTGAGCTTTGGGTTTGGGAGGTTAGTAAATCCTAGATTTGGATTAAACTTTAAATATCATTGTCATGAATCGAACCCGCGACTTGTATTTTCAATGAAAATTGGAAAATGACTTAGGTCATGTGTCTCTGCATTTTTTGCCTATCCTCGGCGGTGTTCGAACCCGCGTCGTCTGAGTTAGAAGTGCAGCTCGACTTTTTTTATTTGGCTTGGAAATTTTTCTTGGGCAGCGTAATTTAGGTATTGGTCTATCTCTATTTCGATGTTTTTGTAGAACTGAGTTATTTTCTTCACTTTTCGTGAAAATTTGATGCTTAAGCATTACAAATCGTTGCCACTTGTGAGTTATCTCCGGAAGTCGCAGGCCATTTGTTCTGGATAGTTACTCAGCCCAGTCTTTTGGATATCTGAGGCCAAACAATTCTAAATAAAAACTGAGCTTTTATGCCACATTTGGCTTTTGTTTTCGTTTTTAAGGTAAAGTCGTACCTCTTTTCATGATAGTTTAATTTTCGAATTGAGGCTTTTTTCCCCATTTTTCTTTTAAGTTCAGCTTTTTAGCAACGAAAATTTTGGTAATTTGCGCCTTAACATCGGGAGTTTCAGGCCGCTTATTCTTGATAACTAATCAGCGCGGTTTCTACACTTGCGAGCTTGCGCGTATAGTGTATTAGTACGAACCTTTTTTTTGTTCCAATCTAATTTGCAAACAAAAGTGCTCATTTGGTGGCACTTTTGCTGTAATCACGATTTGTAGCATTGGAACTTTCATAGCATCAGTTTTCTGGCTTAATTGTTGCTAATGTTTGTGAATTGGTTACCGTGCGTGGCTGAGTGGTTACTTCGTGCGACTCATAATCTATATGTGACCAAAAACCCCTACAAAATCGAACATGGGCTTAGAGCGTTCTTTCATAATTAAATACCCCTAGCACAGATACTCCACCTAGCTTTTGAAATGAGCTCAGAACTGCCTTTGAAAATAATAAAATAACTGCAGCTCTCAAATGAGTATTAGATTGCAAGCAATTACTTCAAAACCATTGATTAAAATGCAGCATCAAATTGTCTGCGAGCTATCCCAGATATCTCCTGAGAGGTTAGCAGACAGTGCCTCGACCGCAGGGTCATCCCCATCCCCAGGTGTGTTTCCGGGAGAACATTAACTTAAGTGTTTTTGAAGTAACTTAAGCACATGTACGTTTTATTAGTCATCTGATGCTGTCATTTTCTCCGCTTCTTTTGAAAGTCCAATACAGGCAATTTTTATTGCAACCTTTATTACTTCATTGTACCAGAGTTTTTTGTTGCGGGGGTGGGTGGCGAGAGACAAATAAGTAGTGGTGCTACAAAGTAGAGATGGTGTGTGTTGTGTCTATTTGTCTATGGTTCTTTTTTTTTGCTGCATAGCTTTGACAATTTACTAGCATATATAGCTGTTTTACTTGTGACTAGTGTTTTTGCTGAAAAGCGTTCGTAGCCGAGCGGGCAGGGCGTGAGATTCAAAATCTCGAGGTCGCCTCTGTGTAAAAAAAAAACTGTGGCTGACTTATTCTGTATAATAATTTTTCTGTTTCAGCTGAGCTTTGGATTTGAGAGGTTAATAAATCCTAGATTTGGATTGAACGTATGCGTTTTTTCAAAAATTTTTCATCAAGTGATTGCATTTTCACGTAGCACAATGGAGTGATGAAACTTTGAATATCATTGTCATGAATTGAACCCGCGACTTGTATTTTCAATGAAAATTGGAAAATCACTTAGGTCATGTGTCTCTGCATTTTTTGCCTATCCTCGGCGGTGTTCGAACCCGCGACGTCTGAGTTAGAAGTGCAGCTCGATTTTTTTTATTTGGCTTGGAAATTTTTCTTGGGCAGCGTAATTTAGGTATTGGTCTACCTCTATTTCGATGTTTTTGTAGAACTGAGTTATTTTCTTCACTTTTCGTGAAAATTTGATGCTTAAGCATTACAAATCGTTGCCACTTGTGAGTTATCTCCGGAAGTCGCAGGCCATTTGTTCTGGATAGTTACTCAGCCCAGTCTTTTGGATATCTGAGGCCAAACAATTCTAAATAAAAACTGAGCTTTTATGCCACATTTGGCTTTTGTTTTCGTTTTTAAGGTAAAGTCGTACCTCTTTTCATGATAGTTTAATTTTCGAATTGAGGCTTTTTTCCGCATTTTGCTTTTAAGTTCAGCTTTTTAGCAACGAAAATTTTGGTAATTTGCGCCTTAACATCGGGAGTTTCAGGCCGCTTATTCTGGATAACTAATCAGCGCGGTTTCTACACTTGCGAGCTTGCGCGTATAGTGTATTAGTACGAACCTTCTTTTTGTTCCAATCTAATTTGCAAACAAAAGTGCTCATTTGGTGGCACTTTTGCTGTAATCACGATTTGTAGCATTGGAACTTTCATAGCATCAGTTTTCTGGCTTAATTGTTGCTAATGTTTGTGAATTGGTTACCGTGCGTGGCTGAGTGGTTACTTCGTGCGACTCATAATCTATGTGACCAAAAACCCCTGCAAAATCGAACATGGGCTTAGAGCGTGCTTTCATAATTCAATACCCCTAGCACAGATACTCCCCCTAGCTTTTGAAATGAGCTCAGAACTGCCTTTGAAAATAATAAAATAACTGCAGCTCTCAAATGAGTATTAGATTGCAAGCAATTACTTCAAAACCATTGATTAAAATGCAGCATCAAATTGTCTGCGAGCTATCCCAGATATCTCCTGAGAGGTTAGCAGACAGTGCCTCGACCGCAGGGTCATCCCCATCCCCAGGTGTGTTTCCGGGAGAAAATTAACTTAAGTGTTTTTGAAGTAAGTTAAGCACATGTACGTTTTATTAGTCATCTGATGCTGTCATTTTCTCCGCTTCTTTTGAAAGTCCAATACAGGCAATTTTTATTCCAACCTTTATTACTTCATTGTACCAGAGTTTTTTGTTGCGTGGGTGGGTGGCGAGAGACAAATAAGTAGTGGTGCTACAAAGTAGAGATGGTGTGTGTTGTGTCTATTTGTCTATGGTTCTTTTTTTGCTGCATAGCATTGACAATTTACTAGCATATGTAGCTGTTTTACTTGTGACTAGTGTTTTTGCTGAAAAGCGTTCGTAGCCGAGCGGGATGGGCGTGAGATTCAAAATCTCGAGGTCGCCTCTGTGTAAAAAAAAACTGTGGCTGACTTGTTCTGTATAATAATTTTTCTGTTTCAGCTGAGCTTTGGATTTGAGAGGTTAATAAATCCTAGATTTGGATTGAACGTATGCGTCTTTTCAAAAATTTTTCATCAAGTGATTGCATTTTCACGTAGCACAATGGAGTGATGAAACTCTGAATATCATTGTCATGAATTGAACCCGCGACTTGTATTTTCAATGAAAATTGGAAAATCACTTAGGTCATGTGTCTCTGGAGTTCTTGCCTCTGGATTAGAAGTCTAGTGCGCTATCCCTTGCGCCACGAAGACTTGAAATGAGGCGACATAATTTTTATTGGTTTTGGGCTGCTTAGTTTAGATAATTGCCTACCTCTATGTAGTTTTTTTAAAATATTTGAGCTGAGGCGTTTTTTTTCGTTTGGTCGAAAATTTCGCGCTTTATCAATAAAAACCGGTACTATTTGCTACTATTCCCCATGAAGTAGAGCCCACTTATTCTGGATGAAAAAGCAGGGTAGTCTTTTGAGTCTTTGATTTTTGAAGCGAAGGGCCGTGAATACAATTTGTGTAACATTCGCCCGGGAGTACATATCGACGGAAAAAAAAGCTAGGTTCTAAAAGGACTGGCTAGCGTCTTAACAGCTGTACATACTTTCCACCGTCTCTGCCAAAGCCAGTTCTTTTGGTGGTCTTCCTAACATCGGGTCGACAAAAACGTTACTGTTCTCCGGCTTCGACCAGAACGCTCAAATTAACCGAATTAAATGCAAAATTAGTGAGCTCATGGCTGGGTCTCAGTATCCCCAGACCACGAGGTAACTCCTAAAAACAGGGCTACTACTATTCATTATATTACGATTGTTTTTGTTCAGTAGATAAAAATCATCATCTCCATCGAAGATGGATCAACCCTTTACCTCAACTCCTAGCTTCTCATTATCTGAAAATGAATCGAGATGTTAATTAAATTCAATTCAGGGCATG